TCATTAGCACCTCTAGTAATACATTTACTGAGAAAAATGTTGACTTGTTCAATACTTATTTTACCCGCTGTATTTCACTAAGATTCGACTTCGAGTTGGCTCGGCTCCTCGCATTTTCAAAACACTTAATCATTTCCTCCCGGTGGTGAAGATGAACACGAGCAGTTGCTCTCTACAAATATCTCCATGAGTAGCTCCATCCCTGAGGCAATGACAGATCTGCAAGYGACCCGCATGCTTGGTCAGGAGTTATCCGAGGGCCTCTGAGATCACAGAGGCAGCGATACGCCCAAAGGGACTAATTTGTAGCCGGTGGCCTTTGACAGACATGTAAACATCACATTCAGCCACGCTGTCCAAGACTTTTCCCCAGACGATGTCGGCTTAACTCCGTTTTGTGTCCGAAGCTTAAATAGATACAACAGAGACATCCGAGCGCTCGTTTGATTTCAGGTGAAACCAGGCTGCAAAACTTCATCTATCCAAGTCTTACAATTTGATATCAGCCAAACTGTGTTTTAGATCTTGCTTTGAAATGGATCTATTAAGCAGGAGTAGTTTGTGTTAGATCAGGGGTGTCAAACTCATTTTCACATGAGCGTTAGTTGTGTTTAACTTTGACATTTCATGTTTAACTTCAACTAAACATCACATTCCTCGTCTCATTGGCTGAGCACTGAAACAATAACTGAGCTCTACCTGGTATTTCCTGCATAGAAACAGCATTTTGACACGTCCTCTTATAAACACTGAAAAGTACTGTGTACGACTGACTGAATGTGAAATGAATAAGACAGAAATACTATTAAACGTAAAAGTAAGAGTTTTACTCACTGTTGAGTTGTTGTGAGCAGCTGCCATCTTGAATCAAGTCAAGTCAACTTTATTTATACAGCACATTTAAAAATAACTGCCGTTGGCCAAAGTGCTTCACATGTTACAACTGGGAAAAAAACAGAATACAAAGTTAAGAACAATGCTGAACTCTTCCACTTTTCTACAGGGAATTTCCAATAATCAGCATGCATTATGGGAAATGTAGTTTATGGTCAATGCTGGCTTTAAAGCAGCTTATTTTGAAAGCTGTGCTATCCAACTAAATTTCTCAGTTACTTAAAGCCAATAACTCAGGAGCAGGACAAGTATAATCTTTCACCTTTTAAGTTTATTTTGTTATATTTAATCACATAAGTAAAGTTTACCATTGATATAAAAATAATTTTCATGTGTAAAAAAGTGCCCCCCTTGGCAGGCCAGATGGACACATTTTGCCCGTGTGCCTTAACTTTGACACACTTGTGTTAGAATATTAACCTTAGCCTGGAAATTACCAAGCAAGTATCTTATTTTACTGACAGGTTATTTTATTTAATTTGAAAAGATTCAGACTATGATCTAGTATTTTTTTAAATGTATTTTTAGATGGCTAACGTTTTGCAATCCTTATCTCCTTTGGGCAAAGGCCAAATGAAACGTAGCCCTAATGGCTTTCTTGGGTACATTTTATGTTTGACTTAAATAACTATTGTCCACAAACAACTGTTTTACATTTTTATTATTTTAAGTACACATGGTTTGATGAATCTACATTAAGTTTGCTGAGAAACCTCAATGTATAAATGAATCTTTTTTTAACCAACATAAGTCCAGACAATGTTTTTTTTATTTACTTTTCTATGTTTTTTTTTAATTTGTGGGAAAAAAATGCAGTGAAACTTTATGTAAAAGCTGTAAAAACAATCCCTGCATGATATTAAGTTTTTTTAAATAATATATATAAACTGCATACATTTACACTTGTGTGTGATTGGTTAAAAAGGACAAAATGCATCATTGTTTGTCTGAAACAGTGATGACGATACAAAACTTTTATAGTCAGGTTAAACAGCTAACTTAGGTTTGTTGTTTTTATCTGAACTCTGATATTTTGATGACATTATGAACAGCTGACATCATTTGATATTTTTAAATTGAGTTCAAACAACTTAGAATTTGGTAACTTCCTTATTTAATAGTTATTTTTCTTAAATGTTATCAGTATTATACTTTATATACTTTGAGTGAGGTTTATAACATATAATATGGTTTGATGATTGTCAAACAATATTTTTAACAAATAAGAAAAAAGCTAAAATCATCTGACTTTGAAAATCCAATTTAAGAAACAAAATGTGCTGAATTTAGACGTCTGACAAATACAAGGCAAATCTTTCAACAACCCTTCATGCGGATATGTTTTGCAATTTTATACATAAGTTTTGAGAAACCACACACATTTTCCATGTGTGCCTGTCAATCACAGTGCCTGATGACGGACTCGTGGTTTTTATGTTATCAGATATAAAGCATCAGAGTCATGAGGGTCAGGAAATGAAGAGGAAACTGTTTCTCACAGCATAAAACAATCTTTAGCTGGTGGTTGAAAGAATTCATGTGATAAACTGATCTTAGGTTTGTTTTCCAGGAAATTATTCTTATCTGTTATATCACAAGTTAACCTACCACAGCAGGGAAAAAAAATTGCATCACAGCAAACAAAGTTCACATGTTTGATTTTTTTTTTTTTTACTAATGCAAAAATTCTTTTAAGTTTAAGGCATGGAAATACTGCATGTCCACAATAAATCAAACTGTCCTGCCTTGTTACACAGAACAGGAATGCATTGTTTTAATCTTTGTGTGTGAATGCCAGCACAGATAGTTGGTGAGTCAAATGTCCACAGAGGCTTTGCAGTTGGATTTACGTTGGCTTGTGTTAGTGTTTATATGACGGGATCGTATGTACAGTCGGGCCRAGAGGTCAGCTGAAAGATGACCCCGGTTAGCGTGACGCCCAACATATGCATGTAAAGCATGTAAAGCCAGGTCCGGGCTCTGGGCCAAATGTTGTTCTGCTTCGCTCATATAATTACACACCATGTCTTGGAAACACCTGCGGTGTTGGGTTCTCCTGGAAAACAGCAGAACATCCATCAGGGCAGAGTCAGCTGAGAGATTATTACATGAAAAGCTGCTGAAGGAAGTCAGTGAAGTGGGTGAAAGGCCATGAAAACTGACTGCTGAGGTCAGTTCTAGAACACGATCGGTTCTTTTAGAAAATAAATACAAATAATAAYAATACTTTGTCAATTATGCTTTGGTTCAGGCTGCCTGTGTGTCAAGATCAGCTGTTTGCTGATTTTAAGTAAATGCAGCTCCCTTTGTTTCTCCTGCTTGATTGTAGCACTTAATTTTGGTGTTTTTGACAAATGCTACAATTTGTCAAAAATGATCACCGTCTTGCACAGAGGTGTCTAATCACCATCCTGCATGTTTTAAAGGTTTCTCAGCTCCAGCACACCTGATTTGAATGATTGTGCAGTGTGTTTTTGCAGGAAACGAGTAAAATCGACTGTGTCTCAATTCCAGTGGCGGATCTAGGATTTTTCTGAATAAGGGGTCATCAAGGGGCCACAATATTCTTAGAGGGGCCAAGTATTTATTTAACATCTTTTTACACAAATCTCAGATTTTGGTAAGATGTATACATTTAACCAGTCACACATGTTCAAACAATTGTAATGTAATTTAAAAAAATCTTGCATGTATATTCTCCTTACAAGTTTTACATGCATTTTTACTGTACACAGATCAAATACTCTCAAACACACAGCATGTAAGAAAATCCAGCCATAGTGTAAAGACTTTTGCTGCAGGATTGTTCAAATCTCAAGAAGAGAAGATGWCTTCTGTAAGCTTGATTCATYCTGGACATTCCTATTTCACTCATTAGCGCCTCTAGTGTTTGAACATGGAACTGCGCCCAGCATCATCACTCTTGGGCAAAGGACAGATGAGTGACAGGACAGMGGCACTTCAGGGGGCCAATCAGATTTCAGCTGGGGCCAGRGCSCCTGTGGCCCCGCCCCTAGAACCACCCCTGCTCAATTCATGGGCTGTAGCTGACATCAGCCGCATTTGTCGGCCGCTTGTGTCACTGCCCCAAAGGCTGTCCCAATTTGTAGGCGCCTACTCATGCAGCCGACAAAACCCAGAAGACGTAAGCTGCATCTGAGCATGCTAGGTGGCCGACGGTATCTCAGAATTCATTGCACCGTCAGCAAATTGAACAAAATTTTAAAAAAAAAAACAAAGACGGTGGAGTTTGGAAATTAATCATGGACCAAAAAAAAAAAGTTAAGTTAAACAACTTAGCTGAAGAAACTTTTGTAGCGATGAGATGTTAGATAAAATGCAGCTACTGATAGCTAACATTTTAATCTTGCTGTGAGGCAACATTGATAACCACTGGTTCACTGTGTCACCCACCACACTTACCATCACTATTTTATATATTTATAACACATTTAATTCCTTCCATAAGGTTTGCAGTTTAATAAATGACTGGACTATTAAAAWTTTATTGATTGTAAATTGATACCAACAGAACAAAAGGAAGAAAAATATGAATAAAATTCTCTGTTTTACTTTTTCAGAGATTGATGTTTCTGTATAATAATAAATTCTTTTAGAGATGTCAGATTACATTACATTTACCATTACACATRATCAACATTTAAATTAGAAAACGGACACTTTCAAACATGTATGCTACATTTATAATGGATTTGTTTTACAGCAACAAAGAACCAAAACTATTAACAACCACCGGCTATAGTTACTAACCAACTTCAATTAAATTTATACCGAACAAAGTGGTCAACTTTAAWCCAAATGTTTTCTATCCATTTAAGTAATGGCCCCTCTCAAGAAAAGTGTTTTTAATATAAAAATATGTCTAGAAGAATGTACTGCAGGAAAAACCTCTGCTGTGTTTTATTATTTTTATATTGGGACAATATTTTACATTGTAAATCAAGGATCTACATGAGCTGGATCCTGTTTGTCTTGAAAAAGCTTAAATTTACAAAGCAGGCTGTCCATTCGGCTCCTCCCACTTTTATTTTCCAGGAGCTTAAATGTTCTCTGCTACAGCTGGTTCTCATGTCCTTTCTTCAGCCAGTCTTTGTCCACGTACGCTCTCACCTCCCCCACCGTGCACCTCTTCTGTGCATCCAGAGCCAGAAGCTTCCCGAACATCTCCATGGCCTCTGGAGTAAACCTTCTCCACAAAGGAGGAACGTCCTCCTCAGTGTAAGGCTTCGTCGTCATGCTGCACCAGTCTGCGAACTCCTGGTAGAAGCTGTCTGAGTCCATGCAGTGCTCCCAGGGGAAGTAGCCTGTGAGGATGCAGAAGATGACCACCGCAAAGGCCCAGGTGTCGAGGCTCGGCTCGACGCTCAGAGGAGCTGCGGTCACTTCCTTCTGGTTGTCCAGCAGAGCCACGGTGCAGAGCTCCGGGGCCATGTAGGGCAAGGTTCCTGTGACGAAGCGGATCAGGGTGCCCCTCTTCTGAGCGAGACCAAAGTCTGCCAGCTTGACCTGGCAGCACTGACTGTCCAACAGGAGGATGTTTTCAGGCTTGATGTCCCGGTGGACAAAGCCATGGCTGTGGATGAACTCCAAAGCACTGGAGATCTGGACAACACAACGTTTCACAGAGGATTCTGGGATACCCACCTGGAAAGAAAAAAAGAGATAATTACTAGGCATGCAACAATACTTGCATCTGTATCAAACCATTCAATACACACTACTGTATGTATGGAACAATACAGATTTTTAAAATTTTGTTTTCTTATAAAGATGCTCTGTGTTGAAGGATCAGTGGATCTGTGTTCGACTACTCCACCTAGTCTGCATTGTGGAGCACAGATCGACTGAGAAACCTGCTGTTTCAGCAACATTTAATTTAAAAATGGAACTTTTGGAGTTAAATAAATGTTCACAATTAATTTCAATAAATTACAAGCTAAGAAGGGCATGGAAATTTCTATTTTTATATCGAAAAAATATTGAACCGTGAAACTAAACTACTGAGCCTAGCCGTGAATTTCTGTATTGTTGCACCCCTATTACATGTCATTTTAATTATTTGTGTATAATGTATTCAGGTCAGATTGACTGGTTAGTTTGGAAGATTTAATTTAAATCCCAACTTCACCAATATTTTGAAGCAAACAGTTTGCTCGTCAATCGTCTAAACGAGTTTCGGAGCGACTTCTTTGTCCGCGGCCATGTGGAAAGTATTAACACGCTAAGGTATTGTGTATTTTCCAGACACATAGTTCAATTCCATGTCAAAATGCAGTAACTATGTCACCTTCAGTTGTTATGAAATTGCTGTGTATAACAAAAATACATATGACTTTGCAGCATAACAACTAAACGCCTTGTAATTGGCCCCTGCCTCTTTTAAAATTTCCTACCATTTCTGACACTCCCACTTCAGCCCATCTTCACAACAATGCATCGGGGGAGGGGTGCTCTGTGAGGCGTGAACTCGGCCACAGGGAGGAGCTATGTACAAATAGGCGGTGCTTTGTACCAGCAAGTGTTTAGGCAGCTCTGAAGGATTTCTCAAACATGCATGAATGAGTCAAAGCAACACTCTGAGTACGTTTCTGATGAAGGAATCAGATCCAACATCATATAAAGCTCAAAAAAGTCGATTTTGCACAATACCCCCCCCCCCCCCCCGCCTTTAAATAAGAGTTAGCCTTCACCTCAAAGTTCACTGTACCTAAATCCAGCACAGCATCTCTGTTAAAGTGGCTCTAAGTCCTTCTCAAACCCCACTTAGTCAATGAATGACTCACTTTTGGCTGGATGACGGCAAATAAATCCCTTCCAATGACAAGCTCCTGGGCAAAGCAGTAGTGCTCTTCYGACTGGAAGGCAATGCCAAAGAGGCCCACGATGCAGGGGTGGTGGGACAGGTGTAAGGAGATGCAGTACTCCCGCAGGAAGCCCTGCAGCTTAGTCGAAGTTTTGGGCATCACTTTCAAGGCCATGGGAGTCCCTGCAGATCATGGAAGGGAACATTCAGTGTTTTCCAAGTTTATGCGCAGCTTTTCTGTGGAACTAAAAGTTATAATGAGTACTTTAGTCGTTACATTTTCTAAAACCTGAAACTTGTCCAGGMTCTCACACATCCACACACCTCCTGGTGGTTTTAACTTTAGGTCCTTCAGGCCTTGAGCCAAACATGCTAACGCCAGCTGCTGATCTGCGTCCTGTTCAACTAGAGACCAACTCGTTGCTTCGTTTTACTGCTCCTCTCGGGTCAAACAGGAGGTCTAAATCTTGCACCTTAACTTTTCTCAGCAGACACTTTTCTGTGTGTTTTCTYTTTGTCGATGCTGCTCCCTAAAGGTTTCAGGACCTCATATTTGACCCATCACATCGAAACGAGGATTATCGTAAGTCCAAAGGCGAAATGGGGAGAAATAGGCAGATACAGGGTTTTGATTTAAACGTTTGCAAAAATATAATTTTGTCAAAATATAATGAATTAATGCCTTATCTATGTATCATTTGAATGAACTGTCTGAAATATATTCCTAAAAAAWTTATGAAGCATTTTTTTGAGAAAGTAGCAACAAGAAAAACTGATTTTGAGGAAAAACACCTTAAAGTTTTGAATTTTTCCCTGTGAGCTATCAATGTTTTTGTTTCTTTCCAACTGGGAAATCTTAATATACAAATAATATTTGAGGGAGCCTGTTTGTATTAACATAAATTATTCAATAAATTTATATAAACTTATGATTCAGACAAAACAGTAATGTATTGTAACCAACAAGACAAATTAAGTGACATCTCTGGATAAGCTTATATCAGAATGATCCAGGTATCAAAATGTAGCTTTTAAAGCAGGAATCTAAAAATGTGATTACGTCAATTTGACCAAATTTGACTTAATCCTCATTTCAACATGATGTGTCACATATTTTGAATAGTTTATACCTCTGAAGCGATGCGTGACCAAGAGCACTTTGCCGTATTTCCCCCGACCGATCTCCTTAATGATGTTGAAATGTTCCTGTATCTCTAAGTGGTTGATGCTCTGAGCTGTCAGCTCCATCAGCTCGTCGATCAGGCTCCCGTCAGCCAGACCCAGCTCAATCATCTTCTCCTGCAACAAAAAACATTTGTTAACAACCTATCAAACAAATAAAYCATCCAGTCTTTATGGGCATTTAGTTTTATGGGCCTTAACACTGATACAACAGCATCATCACAGCTGCGGTTTTTACAATGATGTCATTATAATAACAGTCGATGTTTAAATTGARAAACATCTGTACTTTGTATATAGATTATTAACACAAATACATTTCATCTTTCTGACTTTTAAGGATTCTTTAGTGTTTTATAGCAAAATAATGTAGTTTGTACTAAATCATGCAACAGTCCTGAAGTCCATGGAATGAATAGAGTTTTGCAAATTGGAAAATTTTAAATAAAACATATTTTTGTCATTTATTTATTAAAGAGACTTGATTCAATGACGCATGGCAGTACAGAGATTTACATTTAATTTTCACACTGTTTAAAACTGATTTGAACTAAACTTTTTAAAATTGTTCAGTTTAATGACTCAACTTTTATGTGAAATACAACCAAACAACTAACTGTTAGGTTTATAATATACCAGTATATATATTTGATGACWAGCTATGATAATTTATACATGTTTGTGTTTATTATTTTTTACTTTTATCCTATTTCAAGTTTTTTTTAATAAATGCATAATTCCTTTATTTATATAATTTATTTCCTAATTCTGATCAGATTAGTTTCCTGTGCTTATGCATGCAAACATATAACAAAACAGAAATAACACACAGAGAATCTTTTTTTCCTGCTTCTTAAGTTAATCATTTCTTAGTTTATCAATGAGACATTGAGTATTTCTAAATTCTTACCTTTTTCACCAAGATTTTCCCCAGTAGAGTCACTGGAATCTGAAAAACAAACAGAAAACAAACCAAATGTCAGACAGGTTTTCAAGAAACAAACAGCAGCTCAGCACGCAGCAGAGTGAACGAACCGTCTGTGTGTCTGCTGTCAGACCACTGCCCACTGATGACACACACAGACACACACTAGTTTGTGTTTCTATATTTATTGGGACCAGTCATTGATTCATTACCAGTGATATCTATAGCCCACGGCTATTCAACTAAATCGCTCCGGGGGGCCACAGTTACTGCAGGTCAACAGATGAGGGGCCGAACATCCAGCAATGAAAGTTATTATGTAAATGAACCAAGTATTACAAAGATCTGTTACCTTTGAATTAGTTTATTTTGCTGCTTTTAATCATGAATACAACATACAGAACCCTATAAAAGTAGTGATAATTAAASATTATCAAAAACAAAACGAACACATTATGCCTCCTATTTGACACAAATATTTTGACTTGTCAAATTTTTAAACCTCACTTTCATCATTTTATCTTCAACRGCTTGTAGTTTTAACTGTCTTGAGTGTTCATAGAAATGTTTTTTTACCAGCTTGTAGCCAAGATCCTGATGTTTCTGTAGATACCAAACGTGTCTGTTTAACTAAAAGAACTTAGAGTAATTAAAGTAGAAATCCAGGGGTTTGGGCTTAAGAGATGAATGAACCAATTGGCGGGCTGAACTTTGGTCACTTCGGCCCGCGGGCCACCAGTTGAATAGCCCTGCTACAGCCCAACCCTGACTTCTCTAAAGCTAACCCCTAATACTAACCCTACTAACCCTAACTAAAGCTAACCATAACCCTAAACCCCCACCTCCAGAACATACCTGACCCTAAATCTAGCCTAAACTCAATCAACACCTTAGTCCTGAACCTGACCCCCAACCCAAAAATGGAGCTCCACCATTTTAGGATCAGTCAGGACACCTGATCTTGACAAAGTAGGTGTATACCAGAAATGGTCCTAAAAAGGTAACAAATGCAAGTACACACACACACACACACACACACACACACACACACACACACNACACACACACACACACACACACACACACACAGCCTATAACCTCTGCATGCATCCAGTAAGCTTTTGAACATATGAAATCTCCACTCATCCAAATATTTAATGAATTTAGAACCCTCCTCTCAATAATGGCAGTGTTTGAGTATATTTACACTTTTTACATTAAAGATCATCCTCTTCGCACACACTGATTCAAGCCTTTAATACAGACGTATGCAGTTGAAATTTTTCATCTGAAACAGGAATCTTTTCAATATAAAACAGCAGTGTTGAACTGTAAACCCAGTTTTTCGACTATTTCATTATCATTAAAAGTTCAAGTCTTCCCTTTTCCAACAGTCTCGTTGCGCCTGAAGTCACACAAACGTCAAACTACAGCCAGAAGAGCTAAAAATCGTTTGCTAAATGTTTGTCATAATGTAGAAATGTGTCTGCACCAGCACAGAGGGAGTGTGACCGTCATGGCTCTGATCCAGGGATCATCAGGTTACGGCACTCAACCAGAACAAATCCCTTAGGATGTGGAGTACACCACAGCAAGGCCTAATGGTGGCCTACGCTGCCGCCGCACCTGTGTGCAAGTGTTTATTGATCTTTGTTTAATTGAGCTCACTCCTCACCGTGACACCACCGCAGCGGTTATTTTTGGGGAGGACCGAGCTTCCAAGTTAAACAAACGATCCACAGAAACAGATCCTTTAGTTCTGACCTGTGGAGCTCTGCTGTGGTTTGACGAGGTGTGAGTCGCTGGGGTGCAGAGCGCCTGACTTTATTCCAAACTGAAAAGGTCATCGTGTTGGAAAGATTTGTCCTGACCATTCTGACTGAGTTGGTTTTACATTTAGTGATGAGCAATACTGCTAATTTATTGCAGCTCTCTGTGGGTATCTCTGTTCCCCAGCAGTCAACTGCCATGATGGGACCCAACCCTGAGCACAGATTCCCATCAATGATCACAGTTATGTAGTGGAGTGTGTTTGGACATTTGTGATCCTCATGTTACACTGTCGCCACAGACATGGGGTAATGTCATATCTGAGATCCTTTACATCCATGATGAAGCTGAGTAGTCTTCAAGGCGCCAGACGTGGAGTCCACGACCCCACCGTCTGGTTTCAGGACGATTCTGTCCACTCTGGCCCAAAGGAGTAAACTTACAGAGAATTGAGCAACTGGTTGATTTCAAGTTGAGCTCCAAGAGCTCCTGGACAACGGCTTATTTCCACAACTCATAATTAACAAGAAGTTAAAATTCCACTTTTTTCCTGAACAGATTACTTTGAGACAAATGAAAAGGTCTTCAAAGCAGAATTGAGGAAAGTGACAAAGCCTGTAAATACATGACTGGACCTTTTAGACCAGGGGATCTTGACCTTTGTGACCTCGGGGCCCAATTTGTTGAACATAAAGTGATGCAAGGCCCAGTCAGACATTACCAATGTATGGATCAAAATGATAATTATTCTAAATCTTGGTTTAATTTTGTACTGTATTTACATAATAACTAAACTATCATAACTAACATAACTAAATTAAATACATTTACATTTTAAAAGTAAAACTCCTGTCAAATAATCACAAGACATGATTATAACAAACATTTTTATATTGTAACCTGTCCATAACAATTAT